GGCTGCGGCAGGCACCGAAGAGCCAGAGCCAGAGCAAACACCGACAAAGCAGGAGAAGCAGAAACTTATTCTAAAGATACCCCAGGAACCTTAACAGCCCCCTCCCACACCACCACCACCAAGAGAGGAAGCGGGGAGCAGGGAAGGCTTTCGACTCTCATAAAGATGATACCAGAAAGAAAAAAAAAATGAAGAAAGGCCAGCAAAGCGCCTCTCTCTGCTCTCGGCACAGACAGAGCCGCGTGGGGGGCGCTGGGGACAAAGCCGCCAATCTGATGACTGTTTTCTGCCTATTCTCTCTGCTTCCAAAAGCCTGGCAGGACTTGGCCTGCCCCCAGATTTTGGCTTCTCCCCTCCTGGGCCCTCCTCCGCCTGCCGGGCAGCTTGCCCGCCCTCTTTAGCTTGGGTTCTGGGAGATGCTCTCCTCCTGCCGCCACACAAACTGGCTGGCTCACCAGGGATCTGCAGGGGGATTTCAGTGCCTGGGGGAGGGGAGAGCCATCCCTCCCAGATGAACCAACCGCCTGATCACCCCATCGCGTCCTCTTCTTTCCCTGTACCTTTGCCCCATGAGCCTCCTTCAGCGTGAGAGGCCTTGGGAAGGGATGTGCTCTCTCACTGATCATTCTAGGTCATTGCCATGTTGAAGCGCCTATAGCCTATCTGAGACTGAATCCCAAGGGCGGACCCCTAGAGGCAGGGTCCTTTCTCTATGTGAGGGTCACTGTTCATTGGAGTCAGGCTACAGGTGTCCCAGGTACTGGGAGCCTGCCTTCCTTCCCCTCCACCCAACAGGGCCTGTGGAACTCTAGGCTTTTCTATCTCCTGCTGACACTCGTCTCTTTGCCTCCACTCCAGGTCTACTGAGGTCTTCCCTGCAGCACCTGACCCCGGACCTAGGAGGGACGGCAGGGTGCTCTGCCAAGTGGAGGGGGTCAGGGGCAACCAGACAGGTCAAAAGGTGGGGAAGAGGTGGGTGGGAGAGCCCCAGAGAGCAGGAAAGCCACGTTTAGATGGGACTGGGGGAGAAAACCATGCGTGAGCTGTGGAAAGGGGCTGGGCTGAGGCAGGACACCCAGTTTTATTTCACAGCGAGGTCCCCAGAATCCACTCACAGCTGGAACCTTCCAGGCCCTCTCAGGGCCAGGTCAGAAACCACTGTCTACTGAGGGCACTCATCATGTCTAGTGGGCTCCGTGGCTCAGAACGCCACCAAACAGAGGCTTTGGGGGTAGGTGCTGGACACAGGAAAGAAGCAGACTGTGGCCTAAGATATATCCCTCAATGGGTCCCCTGGCCACCTGCAGACCCCCCCAAAGCCCTTCTCCCCTGGGTTTGGTACCTCGCTTCCTCCACCCACTAAGGTCCCACTCCCAGATTGTCTTCTGCCCTGCCCTCTTCTCCTCTCCTTTTGGTCCAGGTTCCTTCTGACAAATGCCCTCCGCAAGCCCCTCCTCTAGCCATCCTTCACTCCTAGAGGTGCGGTCCTTAGCATCCCTAGCTTCCAAATATGTATTCCAGAGGTTGATCTCAACTTGTACGAACCCCTGGCTGCCTCCCGCCGAGCCCAAAGCTCAACTGAGGCCCCGAGGCTGCTCTTTCTCCAGATACCCAGTGGACCGGAAACACCCCCGCCTCCCCAGAAGCACAGCACAGCATGGCACAGCCCGGCACGGCACAGGGGCACGGTAACCTGCGGGTCGGAGCCGCCCAGGCTGCGGGCGGGAGGCAAGGCAGAGGGCTGGCCCCCAGGGCCCGCCAGCTCTTCCATCAGCTTCAGCTCCCCCTCCAGGGAGCCCTGGATCAGCAGGGATATGGTGTCAAACAGCTGTCTGTCCTGGGGGGGGGGGGCCAGCCCATGAGGGGAGCGGG